CCCGCGGCCCCGCCGACTACAGCCTCAGGGCCACCGGCCCCAGAAAGGCGTGAAACCCGGCAGCCTGTAAAGAATGGCGTTCCAGATTACAAAGAAGACCCAACACCAGGCATTTCGAGCTGACTCCGGGCCTGGACACTGGTGTGCAGGTGAACAGAACGGACACCAGAGCTCCCCGCCAGCCAGTCAGCCCGACGTCTCACCCGCACCGAGGGATCGGACGGCCGCCGCCATGTTGGTCGCTCCGGATGGTGTCGACGCTAACGGTCCGACGTCTCGACTGGGCAGGCTTGAAAAGAAGGTTCCGCCCTGGAATTGGCGGAAGGGAGAAGGAGTTAGAAGGAGCAACGGAACAAGGCGGAGACCAAAATAGGCCTGACTGCCGGCGTGGCGGACGTGTCACGGTCAGGTCCCGGGGTTGTCCCGGACCCTTTGTTTCGTGGTTCCGGTTTACCGGCTTCACCAGCTTCGGGAGAGGCGGTCACCATCCCGTTCCTCGCTTCTTCCCTTCCTCCTTCCGCCGTCCCCCCGCCCACACGCCTCTGATCCTGCAAATGAGCTCGGAACGATCTGACGATCCGAAGCCTCCGCCTTTGTCCAGAACCGGGCTGCGCAGGTGGTTCAGCGGCCGAGCGCCTGTCCCGACGGCCGAAAGACGGGGTTCGATTCCCGGCGCCGCACAGAGGACCCTGCACAGGCCCGATGCGAGGACACGCACTGGCTCCCCACATACTGTCCCTAACTCGGCCTGAGATAAACCAGGTTTTATTCTCACCTTGCATTCATCTGTTTTCTATTTGCCACCGAGCTGTGCCATTAGGACCAAGTGAATAAATCATACAGTGTGTGGCATTTATATAACACATCTAGTTTAAAATAGTAGATCTGAGACCCAGGCACAGGTTATGCTGACCAAATATATATATATATATATATATATATATATATATATATATATATGTTCTTTCCATTATGTCTCTCACTGCTGCCAGTGTGGTTTATCTAAAATGAATCTGCACACACACACACACACACACACACACGACTTCTCACCTCCATGACTATAAATTCTGTTGCCTCTTCTTGAAATATCTTGTTTCACATTACTAGTTAATTTTATATTTCCTTATGATTTCAGACCAGGCTTTATTCAATGATGTCACCTTTCTTACTTGAGAGACTGAGTTGTTGGTAATACCCTGTAATTATATCTAGTTAAGTTTGTTTGTTTGCTTTTTTTGTTGTAAACCATGCCAAGGTATAATTTATATCTCATACAATTCACCAATCTAAGTTGCACAATTCCTTGGGGTTTTTTAAATATAAATTCAAGGGCTGGGAAGGTGGCTCAGTGGTAGAGCGCTTGCCTTGTATGCATGAGGCCCTGGGTTTGATTCCTCAGCACCACATAAGCAGAAAAAGCCTGATGAAGTGGCACTGTGGCTCAAGTGGTAGAGCGCTAGCCTTGAGTTGAAGAACAGAGGGACAGCGCCCAGGCCCCAGAGTTTAAGCCGGCAAAAAAAAAAAAAAACCAACAATAAAGTATAAATTCAAAGTTGTATCTTTATCACAATATTTTACCCACTAGTCTGAGCACTTTATGAGCAAATATCATGTCATTTAGTTTTGTAACCTCAGTATGCATTAAGAATATATAGAACATGGACTGAATCAAAGCAGGAATTTCCCAGGTGACTTATTTTATACTTATATAAAGTACTCATGTACTTGAAGAATAAGATTTCTGATATGATAATATCTTTTGTTAACATCTAAGCAAGTTTTGTAATCATTCATAAGTGCTAAGAAAAAATGCAAAGAACTTGATTTTACCTGTATAACTATCTTCCCTCTAACGCTCCTTGCTTCCTCCTCTGTCCTCTCTTTTTTTTTTTCCATACATACTGTGTTTGTCAAGAAGTATACTTAGGGGCTGGGAAGTGGCTCAGTGGTAGAGAGCTTGCCTTGCATGCCTGAGGCCCTGGGTTCAATTCCTCAGCACCACATAAGCAAAGAGAAAAAAAGCCGGAAGTGGCGCTGTGGCTCAGGTGGTAGAGCACTAGCCCTGAGCTGAAGAGCTGAGGGACAGCGCCCAGGCCCAGAGTTCAGGCCCCACAACCGGACCCCCCAAAAAAAGAAGTATACTTAGTTATGCTATAAATGGTTCAAACTAGACATGATATCTAACACCTAGTTTTGTTGAAGAGATATACAAATTCATCTCATCCATATCAAACCAATCAAACATCTAGGAGTACTGGTTCTCAGACTCATTCCTTCTTTTTTCCCGGTTGGGTTAGTTGGCCCCATCTGCACAGCTCTTGTATCTTCTGTTCTGGCAAGAGAATGTATTCTTTACATATCAGGACTCACTCTCCTATGCAATATGCTTACTGTCATCAGCTGGTACTGTAGTGCCATCAATAAAGCAACAGATAGCTGGCATAATTCTCCTTTTCGGTCACCAGAACATGATAGCATTCATTACTCAGGTAGGACCTACTGTCTAGTTATCATGACAAAACAATAATAAGAAGTTATTTAGCCTGAGATTGTATAAAAATTGTAAATTATTTCATTAAAAGCTACCGAAACCCAGTGCCTGTGTCTCATGCCTGTAATCCTAGATATTCAGAAGTCTGAGATCTAGGACTATGATTCAAAGCCAACCTAGGCAAGAAAGTCCATGAGACTCTTATCTCTAATTAGCTACCAAAAGAAGCCAGAAAGGGAACTGTGGATCAAGTGGCAGAATGCTAGCCTTGACCAAAAAAGCTCAGAGACAAGCACCCAAGTCCTGAATACAAGTCTCAGGACCAGCAATAAAATAATAATAATGCTATAGCAATTAATACTATGAAGTGGGAACTCCAAGCACCTAAATTCTTGACAAATAATGAAATTCTCCTTAATAAAGAGAGGCAGTCCACCAGGTAGTGGTAGCACATCTGTAATCCAAGCTACTCAGGAGGCTGAGATCTGAGAATCACAGTTCAAAGCCAGCTTAGGCAGGAAAGTCTGTGAGACTCCATGAGACTCTTATCTGCAATTAACCACCAGAAAACTGGAAGCAGCGCTGTGGCCCAAATGGTAGAGTGCTCGCCTTGAGCTGAAAAGCTTAGGGACAAGGCCCAGGCCCAGAGCCCTACAAATGACAAAGAGAGAGAGAGAGAGAGAGAGAGAGAGGGAGGGAGTGGAATGGCTTACATGGTGATACTCTGGCTCCAGACTTACTGGTTTTGAATCCCAGTATTATCACTTACTACTTGTGTGACATAGAATGAGTTACTATACCTTTCAAAACTTTTGCTCTGTCATGTTTGTTATGGGACCAATAAGAAGATCATTTATAGATCCTGTGATATCTTTCACAGAGTAAGCACTTAATAAATATTAAATGCCATTATTAGGGCCCAAGTTCTTAACCAGGAGGCAAAATGAAATGCCTACTTGCTTATCAATAAATCATACAATTTCTTTCCCTATTCATGCTAAGTTGTCACTTTATAACAGGTTTTTATTAGTATTTGCAGAAAGTATTTAGTTTACGTTTATACACAGCTTCTCCCAGTTGATTTCTAGGAAGGTTTAGACTCTCTAGGAGTCTTGGCAAAATGCCAGCTGCTTGCCTGCTTGGCTAACTTCCCTGGGAAAAAAAGTTTTTAAACATGTGCTTAGCTGGGCAGTTGTCTGGATCTGTATTCTTTGAATTCCTCAAGCATCTTCCAGTTGAACTGGAAACTCCTTTGCTTTTAGAAGGATCAATTACTATTTGAGGTTCAAGTTGAAAACAATTCTTTTTATTATACCAAAATTCAAAGACATTTTCATCTCAGTAGTGTGCATCAGAATCACTCAGAAGTCTTGTTAAACTCAGATTTGTGACTTCCCAAACCAAAACTTCCTGACTCAATAAGTCTGAAGAAGTAACCTGTGAGTGTGCACTTATAATGGGTTCTCAGGTGTCATTATATACTCACCCAGAGACCATACAGTGAAAAGCATTCCTTGTATAATACCAAGAAACGTTTGCATCCATACCTTACATTGACATGGGTAGGAATTCTTTTGTATAACAATTGTATCCCCAATATAATATAGACTCTAATGTTTTCCATGTTTTCTATATGCCTCTAAAACCATAATTTTCTCCAACTTTATGAAGAAACTGCTATATATGTCTGCTTTTTCACTTCAGAACTGCATACTGTCTGCTGATAGCTGTGCCTCACCCCTGTAATCCTACTCTGGGGGATGAGATCTAGAGGATTTGGGTTCAAAGCCAATTCAGGCAGAAAAGACTTTAAGATGCTATCCCCAAAATGACTAGCAAGAAGCAGGACTGGTGGTGTGGCTCAAGTGTCAGAGAGCCAGCCAAGTAAGTAGGCTAAGATCATAAGGCCTTAAATCTAAAAGCTGTTACCCCTATCTATTGGGCCATCTATTTCCAATAGATGGTCACTGTCAACAAGGAGAATTTCCAATGCCTGTCTGTCTGCCTATCTGGATATTTAAATATCGCCAACTCCTATTTTCACTTCTCTCCTTTGTGCCTGATTTAGAATCAAATTAGGATTAATAAAGTAATTGCTTTTTATTCTTAGTTTTAAGAATGAAAGTTCTGAGTGACACTTAGGAACTAATATTGCCTGGTCCTAGAGTGTCCCTATTTCCCCAGGAGACTAACTTAATTCCAGATTGAATTAGGAGATCTAGAACTATTCAGTGGTTTTCTGATAACATCTTAACAACTGGTTCTAGAATGTGTAGCATTTGCTACAAATTCACAGTAATTAATTTTAGGCTGCTACACACAAAATTCACCAGCTCACAACATTCCTGACAGTTTATCACTTGAATATCATGTGCCCATAATATACTACTGGAGTTTCCTAGGAAAAGCCTTAGGTAATCTTTAAGAGGCCTAAACCAACCAATTCTTCCCAGATCCACTCTTCTCAAAATGTACCTTAATTACCTAGAACTATTATTAAAATGTAGATTCTGATCTGACATATGATGAACAGGGTCAGAAATTCTATTTTCTAAGAGGATTCTAGGTGATATTACTGCTTCCAGGCCATGGAATAACCAGTTTCTAAAATACATAAAATCTACATTTCTATTAAATCTTTTTAAAAAAACTCTCTCCTAATAGGGAGCAGGCTTAAGTGTACTCCCGAATTTCTAAGATTTAAATCCATAGTCTCCATCTTTCAAGATAGATCCTAGAAATGTCAATAATATCCCTATCTGCTTCACATGGA